ACAAGCACGTGATCGGTAACAATAAGCACCTGTTGGGTAACAACACGTACCTGTTCTGTTTCAACAAGTACCTGTTGGAAACAACAAGCAATTGTTCGGTAACATCAAGTACATGTTCGGTAACAACAAGCACCTGATCTGTAACAACAAGTACCGGATATGTAACAACAAGTACTTGTTGGGTGACAATAAACACCTGATCTGTAACAACAATCATCTCATCTCTAACAACAAGCACCTGATCTGTAACAACAAGTACCTGTTGGGTAACAACAAGTACCTGACCTGTAACAACAAGTACCTGTTCGGTCATAACAAGTACCTGATCTGTAACAACAAGTACATGTTTGGTAACAACAAGCACCTGTTCGGTAACAACAATCACCTCTTTGGTAACAACAAGCACCTGGTCTGTAACAACAAGCACCTGATCGGTAACAACAAGTACCTGTTGGGTAACAACAAGCACCTGATCTGTAACAACAAGCACCTGATCTGTAACAACGTTGGGTAACAACAAGTACCTGACCTGTAACAAGAAGTACCTGTTGGGTAACAACAAGTACCTGTTGGGTAACAACAAACACCTGATCTGTAACAACAATCATCTCATCTCTAACAACAAGCACCTGATCTGTAACAACAAATACCTGATCTGTAACAACAAGCACCTGATATTGTTCGGTAACAACAATCACCTCTTTGGTAACAACGAGCACCTGGTCTGTAACAACAAGCACCTGATCTGTAAAAACAAGCACCTATTGGGTAACAACAAGTACCTTATCTGTAACAAAAAGCACCTGTTGAGTAACAACAAGCACGGGATATGTTACAACAGGTACCTGTTGGGTAACAACAAGCACCTGATCTGTAAAAACAAGCACCTATTGGGTAACAACAAGTACCTTATCTGAAACAAAAAGCACCTGTTGAGTAACAACAAGCACGGGATATGTTACAACAGGTACCTGTTGGGTAACAACAAGCGGGTAACAACAAGTACCTGACCTGTAACAACAAGTACCTGTTCGGTCATAACAAGTACCTGATCTGTAACAACAAGGACCTGATGCGTAACAACAACCACCTGATCTGTAACAACAAGCACCTGTTTTGTATCAACAAGTACCTGATCTGTAACAACAAGCACCTGTTGGGTAAAAACAAGCACCTGATCTGTAACAACAAGTACCTGTTGGGTAACAACAAGTACCTGACCTGTAACAACAAGTACCTGTTTGGTAACAACAAGCACATGTTCGGTAACAACAATCGCCTGTTTGGTACCAACAAGCACCTGGTCTGTAACAACAAGCACCTGATCGGTAACAACAAGTACCTGTTAGGTGACAACAAGCACCTGATCGGTAACACCAAGCACCTGTTGGGTAACAACAAGCACCTGATCTGTAAAAACAAGCACCTATTGGGTAACAACAAGTACCTTATCTGTAACAAAAAGCACCTGTTGAGTAACAACAAGCACCGGATATGTTACAACAGGTACCTGTTGGGTAACAACAAGCACCTGCTCGGTAACAACAAGAACCTGTTGGGTAACAACAAGCACCTAATCTGTAACAACAAGTACCTGTTCTGTAACAACAAGTACTTGTTGGGTAACAACAAGTACCTTATCTGTAACAACAAGCACGTGATCGGTAACAATAAGCACCTGTTGGGTAACAACAAGTACCTGTTCTGTTACAACAAGTACCTGTTGGAAACAACAAGCAACTGTTCGGTAACATCAAGTACATGTTCGGTAACAACAAGTACCTGATCGGTAACAACAAGCACCTGATCGGTAACAACAAGCACCTGTTCGGTTACAACAGGTACCTGTTTTGGGTAACAACAAGCATCTGTTCAGTTACAACAAGGACCTGTTCGGTAACAAGAAGCACCTGGTCGGTGACAAAAAGCACCTGTTGGGTAACAATAAGCACGTGATCGGTAACAACAAGCACCAGTTCGTTGACAATAAGCACGTGATCGGTAACAATAAGCACCTGTTGGGTAACAACAAGCACCTGATCCGTAAAAACAGGCACGTGATCGGTAAAAACAAGCACATGCTGGGTAACAACAAGCACCTGTTCGGTAAAAACAAGTACCTGTGTTGTAACAACAAGAACCTGTTTGGTAACAACAAGCACCTGGTCGGTAACAACAAGCACCTTTTCGTTAACAACAAGCACGTGATCGGTAACAACAAGCACATGCTGGGTAACAACAACCACCTGTTCTGTAACAACAAGCGCCTGTTCTGTAACAACAAGCACCTGTTCGGTAACAACAAGAACCTGTGTTGTAACAACAAGTACATGTGTTGTAACAACAAGTACCTGATCGGTAACAACAAGCACCTGATCGGTAATAACAAGCACCTGTTCGGTTACAACAAGTACCTGTTTTGGGTAACAACAAGCACCTGTTCGGTTACAACAAGCACCTGTTCGGTAACAACAAGCACCTGATCGGTAACAACAAGCACCTGTTGGGTAACAACAAGCACCTGATCTGTAACAACAAGTACCTGTTCTGTAACAACAAGTACCTGTTCGGTAACAACAAGTACCTGTTGGGTAACAACAAGCACCTGTTGGGTAACAACAAGCACCTGATCTGTAACAACAAGCACCTGATCTGTAACAACAAGCACCTGATCTGTTACAACAAGCACCAGTTGGGTAATAACAAGCACCTGATCTGTAACAACAAGCACCTGATATGTAACAACAAGTACCTGTTGGGTAACAACAAGCACGTGATATGTAACAACAAGTACTTGTTTGGTAACAACAAGCACCTGATCTGTAACAACAAGCACCTGATCTGTATCAACAAGCACTTGATCGGTAACAACAAGCACCTGATCTGTAACAACAAGCACCTGATCTGTAACAACAAGTACAAGTGTTATAACAACAAGCACCTGATCGGTAACAACAAGTACCTGATTTGTAACAACAAGCAGATGTTGGGTAACAGCAAGCACCGGATCTATAACAACAAGTATATATACGGTAACAACAAGCACCTGTTGGGTAACAACAAGTACCTGTTCTTTAACAACAAGTACCTGTTGGGTAGCAACAAGTACCTGATCTGTAACAACAAGCACATGTTGGGTAACAACAAGCACCTGATCTGTAACAACAAGCACCTGATCTGTAACAACACGCACCTGATCTATAACAACAAGCACATGTTGGATAACAACAAGCACCTGATCTGTAACAACAAGTACCTGATCTGTAACAACAAGGACCTGATCTGTAACAACACGCACCTGATCTATAACAACAAGCACCTGATCTGTAACAACACGCACCTGATCTATAACAGCGAGCACCTGTTGGGTAACAACAGGCACCTGATCAGTAACAACAAGTACCTGGTCTGTAACAACAAACACCTGTTCAGTAACAACAAGCACCTGATCTGTAACAACAAGGACCTGATGTGTAACAACAACCACCTGATCTGTAACAACAAGCACCTGATCTGTAACAACAAGCACCTGATCTATAACAACAAGCACATGCTGGGTAACAACAAGCACCTGTTCAGTAACAACAAGCACCTGATATGTAACAACAACCACCTGATCTGTAACAACAAGCACATGCTGGGTAACAACAAGCACCTGTTCAGTAACAACAAGCACCTGTTGGGTAACATACAATCTGTTTTCAAGTACCTATACGGTAAATCTTTATGACTAGCTTGCGTTAGTTAAGGCGCTCTCTCACCTCGGAATTACGATCCCATAAATGCTGAAAATAGGCTACATTACCTGTATTACAAACATGTGTCGCTTTTCTGTTTAATGAACAGCTAAATATACTTTTATCCTACCAGAATGTATGCGAAAATTCGCCAAAGATATACTTTACGAAACCACACAACCCAGAAACATGTACTTCTAAATATACAGAACGACTTTACGGAACCACACAACCCAAAAACATGTACTCCTAAATATACAGAACGCCTTTACGGAACCACACAACCCGGAAACATGTACTTCTAAATATACAGTACGGAACCACACAACCCAGAAACACGTACTTCTAAATATACAGAACGACTTTACGAAACCACACAACCCAGAAACATGTACTTCTAAATATACAGAACGCCTTTACGGAACCACACAACCCGGAAACATGTACTTCTAAATATACAGTACGGAACCACACAACCCAGAAACATGTACTTCTAAATATACAGAACGACTTTACGAAACCACACAATCCAGAAACATGTACTTCTAAATATACAGAACGACTTTACGAAACCACACAACCCTGAAACATGTACATCTGAATATATACAGAACGACTTTACGAAACCACACAACCCTGAAACATGTACTTCTAAATATACAGAAAGACTGGTCCTTTCATTTACTGAATATACAAAATGGTTACAAAGTGGAACGACAAAAGCTAATTCATATCTCCATGATTAACCACGCTGTCTATAATGAAGACCTGTACTTTAATTATATTGAGCTGTTTTAATGACGTCAAATCATGACCATTGTCCACGTCTAACATACGCTACAGACCACTGACCATT